ACACCATGTACTTGTTCTTCCTCAACTGAATTTCAGCATGATCAACAAAGATAACATCTCCAAAGTTGGTGGATCGTATGCCTGAAATTCTGGCTCGCGGCGGTGGTGCCATGGAAGTACTACACACACGACACTTGTTGTACATCTCCTCATACTTCTGATAGACAGAGTCAGGAAGTCCTAACATGGAAGTCCTTCGTCTGAATTGAGTAGGAGACATGTGATAGTGTTTGATATGAAGCTTGTAAAGTTCCACACTATCCTCCAGTTTCCTGAGCATCTTTCTGTATGCTGGTGTCATGGCTTGCACTTCACTACCAGGCAGTGGAATCGAAACTCGCCTAGGCTCAAGAGCATCACTACCTAGTTTCTCAACTTGACTTTCTGAATCTTGCTTACCACGGTTGCGCGGGTGCAGAATGTTTTGGTTCAATGACTTGAGGTTCATCTGAATCAATTTTGTCCAAACCTAACTCCCTAGCTACCTTATCAAGCTCATCTTCCTCATCAAGCTTGGGATAGGAGACAACAACCTTCTTTCTTGATGAACCTGATTGAGAGTCATCGACAACCTGAGGTTTCTGCTTACCTACGTGTCTTTTGGCTGCAGGTGGACCTACCTCAATCTTTTTCGAGCCTGGTCCATTTGAAATCGGTTTGCCTTCCTCCTTCTTTAAGGAGCTTGGCTTCTTCTTCTGTACACCTGATGGCACTGAAGAGGCTGACTCAGGGTGAAAAAGATCATCAATGTTTCCACGAAAGGGCTTTGCACGATCAATGTCACTTCTGACAATGTCATCTGGGATCACGTAGTCCTCGTTGATCTTGTAGATGGTCTTGCCCTTCCAGAACTCTTCACTCTGTTCAGAAAACCTCTTCTTCTCAGTGCGCCAGTTGTCCTTGTGAAGAACCTTCTTCTTGCTCTTCTGGAATTCCATGTGAGTTTCTCTCATCTAGAAGTTGATCTTTTGGAATTGGAGTTTTCTCTGATCGAGTCATCTCATGTAAGTTCATTCTCTTGTCCTTGTGGTGCCTGATGAGTTCACGACGTAGTGGATCAACCTGCCAGTAGTCACCAGTCACCAAAGCTTCTCCTTCATGATCATCTCGTTTGACAGCAATCTGACTGTACTCAAAGTGATCGTGTTGTGAATAGAAACTTTTGACTTGTGGAGTCTTGAAATGAACTTGGCTCATGTACCATGCTACATCTTGTAGGTCGAGAATGAGATGAGTACTGATGGCTGTCCTCAAAACCATTTTTCTCATGCCAATACGTGCACAGGACAAATAAGCCTTCTCTGGAGTAAGTTCAAATTGAAATCCAAGGTTTCTCATTTGTGGAAGTGACATCAACAACGGGACATCACCTTCTTCGACAATGTCGAATTCTGTAAACTGAGTGTTCCATCCATGATCATACATGAATATCACGAGCTTCTCAGTACATTTTGATTGTTGTGAATTTGCAAAAAGAATCTTGAACTTGTTGGCTGAATTTCATACCAGAGTCCACTGTTGGGATGTGAGTCAACATATCTGCAAAATGCTTCAACTGCTCGTCGAGAGCCCATAGCTCTTGTGCATCCAAGATCCAGAATACACACAGTTGGTGGTGCAGAATTTTCTGTGTGAAAAGCTAGTCCATTCTCACATGCCAGATCAGTTTGTACAGTATGAAATGAAAAAGCACTCTGCTGTGATGGTTCCTCTATCTCTGTAGAGCATCCATATGAAAACAATGATGTGCCTTCTGCCAATGGCTTCCATGAAGCCTCACCTTCTTGAAGACCAACTTGCCTGGGCACTACAGCTGGACGTTGTTGTACACCTTGTCGTAGTGCACCAACTTCTCCAACCAGAACAGGGAATCTCTTCATTTCTCTCCTGTTTTGATGTGCTCTTGCATCACGTTGGTTCTGTCCTCCACGACGAGTACGTCGTTGTTCATCTTGTGCTGCATACGTGGATGTCAAAACATCACCACGTGCTGGCTCTGTCTCTGCAACATCAACACGTGCTGGTTCAGTTGTTCCAAATGAAAAGAAACCATGACCAGAACTTGAAGCTGCAGAAGAATAATGAGCTTGTTGAGTTGGTTGATTCTGTATGGCAGGAGCTGATGTGGTCTGGGGTTGAACATAGTTCGACTTGCCTTTTCCATCTCCTGGCTTTCCTCCTTTTCCATCATCATCCTTGCCTTTCTTGCCTTTCTTTCCTTTTCCTTTTCCTTTTCCTTTCTTCTGGAAGTATCCATACTCATCCATGTAGTACAGATCATCATAGGCCCAATAGCCTTCATTCCAGGTTTGATCATCGGCCCAATAGCCGTCATAGTTTTCATTCCATTCATCTTCTTGCCATTCATCTTCATAATCTTCTTCACTCACCATGTGAGCACGGCCTTTTCTTCTTCCTTTCCTCGGCCTTTTCCTTTTCTTGATCTGAAGAACCTTCGTCCTCCTCTGCCTTTTCCTTTTCCTTTTCTCTTTCCTTTACCTTTGCCTCGTCTGATGTATTTGCCTTGGAACCTTCTCTGATACCATGTGAAGTTGGCGTCATCATAAACCCAGAAAACATCTTCTAAGGCATCCAGGAATCCTTCTGCGCCGTCTTCTTCATCTTCGGCCCAATAGCCGTCGGTTCCTTCTAATTCACCTTCATCCAGTACGAGGAAAGATCTTCTCTGTGCCATGCCAGAGGGTTGCATCAATGGATTGTCAACTGCTGTTTTGGTAGTGCAAAACATTTCCAAAAACAGGTCACGTAGTTCTTGAATACTGTATCGAACGAGAGTTCGTCCACGATGTGTCATGATACTTGTGAGTGTGTTTCTCTGATCTTGACTCAGGTCAGCTAGACTTACAAAAATCAATGCTAGCAAATTTTCACCCAGTGGGAATGCTTGTCGCTGTGCTTCTCTACGATTTTCCTGAAATTGTCTGAATGCCGCTAGTGCCAGTTCATCTGTCCAAGGAACAGCTACATGGGGTGTTCCTGAGGCTGCTGCTACTTCAGCTCTCTCTTGTTGATCTCGTTCATGTTCTTGACGTCGTTGTTGAACAAACAGAATTGCTTCAGGACTAGTCACTGTTACTTCTGGAAGTAAATCCATCCAAGACTCAATAAGTCTATTGCCAGTGAGTTGAAATCTAGTCATCCACTTCTGAAGATCCATGGTTCCTCTGTTGAACTTCATGAACTGCATGAAACGGTATAAGAACACGTTCTGGGCACCTTTGATGAAATGAGGTCGTAGAAATCTTTTGAAATAAGCCACTCCTTCATAGGGATCCCTGAGTAATTCTCTATCCAATAGCCTCTTGTATTGTTGAGCATCTCCTTCCAGTCTATTGCGCAATGCTGGACCACGTTTTTCTGGTTCTAACTCCGTAATGTCACACCAGTCATCGATTGCATCCTCAAAAGCAAAGAAGCTGGTTCGCCCATCATAGGCTGGAGCAACCTTTGTGGTCATCTGTTGCGTCATATGAATCTGTGTATGCTGGGGTGCTCTTCTCATTGCATAAGAGTCATATTGGTTCCATTCATTTGCATCGACAATGTCGAAGTCATCATCATCATAGCCATGGCTTGCCATTTCTTGGGCTCTACCTGGAGCTCACCCTCAATGAGGGATCACTGCTCCGCTACCACTTGAAGAGGGGCCCTAGCGTCTACTTCAAGATCAGCTAAGGCGTCTTCCCCAATGACAGCACTCTTTTACTCTCAGCCTGTTGCCGGTCAGTGCTTGTCTACAGGGTTACTCTATATACCTCTTTCTTGAGCCTTGAAGGCGCATATAAATGTGCTCAATACTCATGCATGTACCTATGTAGGTATTAGGTCGAAACAAAAACAGGGGGGGGGGGTACTAAAATGACTAGCAATCTCCTGAAGAATCAGGTAACGGGGCTGGCCGCCCTCCCCTTTACTTCGTAAAGTAAAACTCAAGGTAGCCCCTCTGGAGCTACCTTTCGTGAAAAACGGGGCAAAACGGGGCCACCATGGGCCACCAATCATAATAATCCCAAAAAGGCATGGGTAGAATCTCCAAATTCCCAACAATCCGCATTTGGCTACTCGCGTGACTGAGCTGGCTGTGAAAGTTTGGCAACCCACAGGTTTAATCCACAGAGCACAAGACCATGTCAAACCCATGGTAAAACCTCATTGAAACTGCGACCGATGAAAATCAAGCGCAGCAATCCAGTCTGCCAAGGGACCGCTTCCGATTGCATGGGCGCCCCAGTAGCAGTTCTGAATGCTGCCGTGAGTTGAGAGTATCTGCGTGGAACTTGTGAATTGGAATCACTGGAACTGGTGGAAGTGTCATAAGTGTCTAACCTCTGCTGCAGCATTTGGAAGGTGTGGCAAAAAAATACAAAAAGCACTAGGCCTACAACTACGAGTTGTGAGTTGTTTAAGCACAATCCAGCATACAGCATGCTGTACTTGTCTAAGGTGTCTTGCTTGGAGACGGCCCCTCACCCTTTTGCGGCCATAAAAAGCGACAAGGCAGCCGGCACGCTAAATTAGACATGAAGTCTTGAGGACGTCCGTCTCACCATCACGTGCTGAGGCTTGGAAAACTGACTCAACAACGTATACATTTCAATGTTCGTTGATGCATCAACCATCAATGATGCGGATGTCAGATATCAACCATCAATATCATCAATGATAGGGATATCAACCATCAGTAACCATCAATGATATGGATATTTGTGCAGCGACGTTTTTTGCGACCGATGCTTGGCGATGTTTTGCCATGTCTGCTATCGTCGTTTATGACCATGCCGAGGTGCATTGACTGCGAGCGACATGATTTTACATGTCAGCTTTCTGACTTCAATTCCAATCTGGAGCTGTTTGCATTTCCTGCTGCACGTCCTATGAGACAACAACACCCCTCCACTAAGAAACACTTGACTCAGTCTCTTCAATGGTCCCTGGCCCCAATAATAACCTCTACAATCATCGTCCCTTTGTCATCCTTTGTCCATCGTAACGAACCGACGTTGCAGCACTTTGATGCACTATGTACAGAGTTTGTCGTAGGCAGGTCACTGCCATCAAGCAGTCGTCATGCTCTGCAGCATGGCATTGATATCACGGATAAAGCCAGCGTTCTGGTGGCGGTCCGTCTCGAAAATCCTCAAGGCCTGCAAGGCAGTAAAATACAAGCAATTCTCAAGTTCAGCCGGATAGAAAATGTCAGCTGCCAGCTTCAAGTGTGCGGGGAACATGCCTGATGAAAGGACGATTCAGCTTCCGCTTGATTTCCATCTGCTGCATAAACGGTACCCAATGCCTCAAATGAAATGGGGCTGAGCAAGCCACCCGTCCTGGTTGTTTTTGCGTGCCACCATTTGTGTATCAGTACCTGAACACCTTTCCTATTTTCAGGAATAGATCAGTTTCAAATAATATGTATACCATAATAATATATATATATAATATAATATTACATACATACATACATTATATATATATTATACTATACAAACATTGTATGATGTACACTATGTCATTCTGATATTATGTTTGGAAGATAAAACATGTTAAAAACCAAGCAGAAAATCCACTCATCCTCCAAGGCTTGGGCCTTCAGAGTGCGGGCAACTTGGACAGACCTTGGTCACGACATGTCACGACACCCTGATGGTCCTGAATCTCTGGGCCATATTCCATGAGAATCATTGAGAATCTATGAGATATGTTGAGATATCTTATAGATATCTTATGAATTATCATCACCAATTCAGAATTCATTCCACATTTCTCCACATCTCCACATTTATCATGATATTTATCCGCATTTGTCATAATATTTCTCCACATTTCATATCATCAAATATCATCAATCCCATTTCCATATCTTCCATTGCACTGAATCAAGGTCCACCAAGGTCCGCACTGTGAGCCATGGAGCCTGGCCAAATCACAATGGGCTGAGACATCCCCATGAAAATCACGGGAAAAATGGCGGGTTTTCATAGGAAAATCACTGGGAAATCCATGGAAATCCATGAACATCCACTTTAGTCGGTTGATTTTCCCAAAACTGAATTGGCTTCGGGGATTTTCCAGCAACGTTTGATTACTGAGGCATAAATCAAGTCCAACGACAGGCGAAAAGTACCCAATACATAGCCACAAGAATTGGCAGAGTCGCACCGTCGCTCGAAGTACTCCACATCTTTTAAATACTCCAGAGCCTGCCAGGATCATCAAATCCGGAGCTTCTCCTGACTCACATCCTATGGGCATAGGCATCTTCCAGCTGGGCCTCCTTTTTTCTTCCCAACTTGATATGAAGGGAAGCCATCTGAGTCCGAGGCAAAGACGCGAATCAGAGCATGTGGAACCTTGCGCTCAAAAGAGTCAACCGAGACGTCAACATGGCGCTTGATGTCAATGGCCATCAGGTCTTCCTCACCTCAGAAGATTATGCCAAGGGTCCAGGCAATGCTCTTGTGCCAAGTCAAGCTCCGCTATAAAACTATCATTGATTCATTGCAGTGAAGGATGGCAACATGATATAGCATGGACAGCCAGCACATCTTTCAGCAACTTCTAGGTGCTGCACTGCAATTCTTCTTGCACGTGTTTTCCGCAATCTCCAGAGCCTGTCGCAGCAACCCCCATCCCTTGGACACCTGAGACTGTACCGGTCACCATCGTCTTCTGCTGCAAGCCCCACCTGGAATGCTTCTTGATCACGTTCATCTGCTTGTAGCCTTGGGCTCCAGTGATCCAAAAATCATGTCCACTTCATCCACTTCCAAGGGTCAGTGGGCAGTGATGATCGATCCCTGAGGCTCTCACCAAAGGGCAAGACGCAAAGAACTCTCAGCCAGTAACCGAGGAAGTTGAGGGACGCCCTGGCGGGAAAGGAACATGACTTCTGTGATACACATGGGTCTGTCTGACATTGGAGGACTTTGCCCAAGTTTTTTTTTGCATTTGTTTGTTGGGGAAAATTATGAACAACCAGTGGATGGAAATAGGTACCTTATGTACCGTATTGTCAGACGAACCCACATTGAAGTTGAAGTCTCAGAGTGATTGCCGCAATGTCCTCCTTGCCCTCCAGGATTTCCACGAGGATCCGCACAACGTCCTATAGCAAACAAGAACAAACATATAGACTGTATGTATATATATATGCATATTATGTGATGGTATGTGATGATATCTGATGATATGTAATGTAATGATATGTGGATGTATATATATATATACATACACGGTTATATATATATGTATATACACATTAATAATTAATATACACATAATGTTTGAATCATGGTGGTGTAAAATATTCGATCGCAGTGCACGACTGAACACATCAGATGTTGGGCCTGCAACTCTTCCACGGCTTTTTGGGACCTGGCTGGCTATGTCTCAAAATGCTGGCCATTTTAATGGCAACAGATTGGTTTTAATTCTAAAGCATCACATTTGAGGGTACCCTCTGGTAATTTACCATAGCTATAGAAAATCACCATTTTTAATAGGTAAACCATCTATAAATGGGCCATTTTCCATAGCTATGTTAGTTTACCAGAGGGTACCCTATTTTCAGAGGGACCCTGACCCAACATTTACACCTTCAAACCACACCTGTCATCATCAGCTGTTCGTTGAGCCTCCGCCATTTGCAACCTGGCAGTGTCGACCGCAGCACTTGAAACGACCGACCCTTCACCAATCCCGGCGCGCCTTACGCGAAGAGTAGGCTCGGCTGTTCGACCATCAATGTCTTCATAAGCCTTGATCGATTTATGAGGGCCAATGGTATCACTAGCAAACAAAGGCTGCTTTGGATAGAGCAAGACGCATAATTAATAGTAACCCTAAAAAGCAAATAGAACAGCAATTCACCACTATGAAAATTACGGTAGGATTTTACTTTTGTATACAGTTCTCTCTTTTTTGGTGGGGTTAGATGCTATATTCTATCTAATGGTTTGTTGCCTCCAAAATCCAGCAACCCTCTGACCTCCCACGCATCAGAGAAGTGGTCGATGGCTTTGTCGACGTTCCCTCTCTGAGTCGCAACCTTCATTGCCGGTCCGATGGCATTCCAGCGGCAAGTGTTGTTCTTTTCTCAGGTTGAAACTTGTCCCAAAAGAATGTGAACCTGCCTTAGTCACTGAACATTCAATACTCAGGTGAAAACATGAAGGGTGACAAGTGGTGACTGCATACTTATTTTCCACATGTTACATTGGGATTGTGAATGCATCCCCTAAAACCGGGACCGATTGACTTCCGCTGATATGAAACCCTACAGACAGACACCCAGTGTATAGATATCATTCTATATCAGGTATACAGATTTATACAGGTATATATATATATATTATTATAATATAAGTATATCATATTATATCATATTATATATTATTATATATTCATATCCCATATGCTCCATGTATGGTATATTTACCATAACTGACATGGAACTTACATGGGTATTGGTACCATGACTGATGCTGTCTCTTGGGACCTGGTCTCTTGGGATCTTTGGAAAGTCCACTCTCAGCTTCCAACGCAGTGAAGCGATCGAGGCCTCCGCGCGTCTCTCGTCCCAGTCGGGCTGCATCCATCAGAGCTTTCTCAGCGGCCTGTCATTTTGTGAAAATGGTGAACTCCCAAGGAGAAATGTTGGATGATTGTTTATGATTGATGATTGATGATGATTAATGGCGTTTATGATTGATGATTGATGATGATTAATGGTGTTTATGATTGATGATTGATGATGATTAATGGTGTTTATGATTGATGATTGATGATGATTAATGGTGTTTATGATTGATGATTGATGATGATTAATGGTGTTTATGATTGATGATTGATGATGATTAATGGTGTTTATGATTGATGATTGATGATTGGTGATGGTTAATGGTGTTTATGGTTGATGATTGATGATGATTAATGGTGTTTATGATTGATGATTGATGATGATTAATGGTGTTTATGATTGATGATTGATGATGATTAATGGTGTTTATGATTGATGATTGATGATGATTAATGGTGTTTATGATTGATGATTGATGATGATTAATGGTGTTTCTGATTGATGACTGGTGATGATTAATGGTGTTTATGATTGATGATTGATGATGATTAATGGTGTTTATGATTGATGATTGATGATGATTAAAGGTGTTTATGATTGATGATTGATGATGATTAATGGTGTTTATGATTGATGATTGATGATGATTAATGGTGTTTATGATTGATGATGATTAATGGTGTTTATGATTGATGATTGATGATGATTAATGGTGTTTATGATTGATGATTGATGATGATTAATGGTGTTTATGATTGATGATTGATGATGATTAATGGTGTTTATGATTGATGATTGATGATGATTAATGGTGTTTATGATTGATGGTTGATGATGACTAATGGTGTTTATGATTGATGATTGATGATGGTTAATGATTGATGATTGATGATGATTTATGGTGTGTACGATTGATGATTGATGATGATTAATGGTGTTTATGATTGATGATTGATGATGATTAATGGTGTTTATGATTGATGGTTGATGATGATTAATGGTGTTTATGATTGATGATTGATGATGATTAATGGTGTTTATGATTGATGATTGATGATGATTAATGGTGTTTATGATTGATGATTGCTGATGATTAATGGTGTTTATGATTGATGATTGATGATAATTGATGATGATTGATGATGATTGATGATGATTGATGATTATTGATGATGATTGATGATGATTGATGATGATTGATGATTAATGGTTAGCTCAAAGCCAATTATTGATGATTTTTCGCTCATTGATGAACTTAAACAATGAATGTGAATTATTGTAAATTGAAGGGAAACTCAAAGAATGAGTTTGGCCAACAGTAAGTTGCAAAGGTTTAGGACTCAGTTTGAGGTTCACAATGTAGCTGGGTATGAATCACACACCCAAATCAATGTGATTCAATATGTAAATCTTTCAATTTGTTCAAACATGTTGTCCCACAAAGGGTTGAAGGGTATTGACGGATGTTGAAGGATGTTGAAGGACGTTGAAGGATGTTGAAGGATGTTGAAAGGGAAATTGCAGGGGCTCAAAAGGAACCAGATTTCTCCCAAATCCCCAAGGAAATCATGGGAAATCCCTGCTGAACCCTGGGCTCCGCCTCAAGCTGCCCTTCCGCAAAGCAAATGGTCCCCTCAGAAGCGAGGAGGTCAGCCTCGCATCACCGGTGTCTTCACTGGTGTCTGGTAGGATGAAACAAATGGACTCATGTTGGTACCACATTAATCCCTTCCTCCTAATACTAAACCCCCCCCCCCTAATACAAAACACGGCAGGTAGTTTTTAGTATTAGGGGGGTATTTATTATTAGGGAACCAAATCGAAGTCATGTTAATTAGTTATTCATGCATTAAAACCCTTAATACTAAAAACTATTTTTTCCGATCTCAAAATCAATTAAATTTCCTTATATAACGCAATTAAAATATTGCCAAAAATGGCAGTTCGAAGCTTGCCCCTAATACTAAATTAAAACCCTTAATACTAAAAACTATTTTTTCCGATCTCAAAATCAATTAAATTTCCTTATATAACGCAATTAAAATATTGCCAAAAATGCCAGTTCGAAGCTTACCCCTAATACTAAATGAAAACCCTTAATAATAAAAACTATTTTTTCCGATCTCAAAATCAATTAAATTTCCTTATATAACGCAATTAAAATATTGCCAAAAATGGCAGTTCGAAGCTTACCCCTAATACTAAATTAAAACCCTTAATAATAAAAACTATTTTCTCCGATCTCAAAATCAATTAAATTTCCTTATATAACGCAATTAAAATATTGCCAAAAATGGCAGTTCGAAGCTTACCCCTAATTGCTAGAGTAGCCAGGCAGCTTGGAGTGAGGGTTTGGGACTAGGCCCCCCTAATACTAAACACCCCGGGGTGAACTAGTTTTTAGTATTAGGGGGGAGAACCCACAAATGGTAGGTTGATTTTTAAATTGTTTTTTAAAGGGGATCAATTAAAAGTCAAATTGGCCAAACTGAAATTTTCGGAAATTGGAGATGGATGCCTGTTTTTAGTATTAGGGGGACGTTTAGTATTAGGAGGAAGGGATTATTCACATTTGCTGGTGTAACTGCTTGTAAATACATGGGGTAACATGTACCAGCTGCGGGTTATGCTGACATAAAAAATTAAACAGCGACAGCTACCCCACATAATATTACTCATTGTTCCCCACCTGCCAGGTGAGGGTTGTTAGATTTTATCAGAGCTGTTCTCCTCCTCCGCCGCCTCCTCCTCGCAGTCCAGATCCCAGTGGGCACAGCCGGACCTCCACCGCGAGCTCCAGATCCCAGTGGGCACTGCCGGACCTCAACTGCGAGTTGCAGATCGCAGTGGGCACTGCCGGACCTCAACCGCGACTTCCAGGTCGCAGTGGGCACTGCCGGACCTCAACCGCGAGCTCCAGATTTTAGTGGGCACTGCCGGACCTCAACCGCGACTTCCAGATCGCAGTGGGCACTGCCGGACCTCAACCGCGACTTCCAGATCGCAGTGGGCACTGCCGGACCTCAACCGCGACTTCCAGATCGCAGTGGGCACTGCCGGACCTCAACCGCGACTTCCAGATCCCAGTGGGCACTGCCGGACCTCCACCGCGAGCTCCAGATCCCAGTGGGCACTGCCGGACCTCAACCGCGACTTCCAGATGGGAACTGTCGGACCTCAACCGCGACTTCCAGATCGCAGTGGGCACTGCCGGACCTCAACCGCGACTTCCAGATCGCAGTGGGCACTGCCGGACCTCAACCGCGACTTCCAGATCGCAGTGGGCACTGCCGGACCTCAACAGGAAGAATGTCAGAAAAAATGTCAGATAGAATAGAATGTCAGAAGATATGCCAGATAGAATGCCAGAAAGAATGTCAGAAAGAATGTCAGAAGATATGCCAGACAGAATGTCAGAAGATATGCCAGAAAGAATGCCAGAATATATGTCAGGTAGAATATCAGAAGATATGCCAGATAGAATGCCAAAAAAAATGCCAGAAGATATGCCAGATAGAATGCCAGAAGATATGCCAGATAGAATGCCAGAAGATTTGCCAGATAGAATGCCAGAAGATATGCCAGAACATATGCCAGAAGATATGCCAGATAGAATGCCAGAAGATATGTCAGATAGAACGCCAGAAGATTTGCCAGTAAGAAAATGTATAAATGTCATGGTGGGGATCATTCGAAGTGAAGTAATTTTTTTTCAGGCATTGCAAGCCAGCCGTGAGAATGATGACAGCAAGATACAGCAAGCACATGCACATTTTTCCCGGTGCAACCTGCAAACGCCGACATTGCAGGTCACCATAGATTCCACCATTGCACACCTGAGGTGCAACATAGAAGCAGCAGGAATTTCTCAGAGAACATTTCCTGGTTGGTGGTTTCAACCCCTCTGAAAAATATAAGTCAGTTGGTATTGTTCTTCCCAATATATGGAAAAATATAAAATGTTCCAAACCACCAACCAGTTTCTGGTTGACTTCATCCCTGAGACTCCGGCTTCTCGTGCTTGCGTAATGTGCTGTTTGGCCTTCTGTTTTTCGCTGCCATGAATCCATGATTCAAACGGCTTTCCCAGCGGCTGAAACAGGCTGGATCGGGCCTGTGCAAAGTAGCCTCCCTGGCCATATGCCTGGATCGAACATATCTCCTTTCATGTCTGATTCAAGTTGAGCAACTTGGGTGTGTCTGAAAATGGGGTATACACCCAAATACCTACTGTAGTGGCGAATATGACTATCAAACATTGGATTTTGATGATTTTGGGAGGTTTCCCAATATTATTCAGACAAACCCACCAGCAGCTCAAATCACGCCTCTGCCAGTGCTGCTTGGGCTTGTATCACTGGCTGAAGCGGAAATCGGTGGATGTGGGACAGCACCTCAAGTCGTTCGTTTCATCAATCTTTGGAGCAGCGACAAGCGCCGCGACCCGAGTCCTCCACCTTTTGAAGACTTAGCTGCTTGATTCGACACCTGAGAGTCAGCATCACTTGAATTGTGAAGTGGCCGGGGGACCCCTGATGCTATTTTCTCCAAGATGAAGGAATGGAGCACCCCATTTCCAATCACCATATTGATCGTATATATTATCATATACCCACTCCCATTGTAAAACTGTCATCGTTGTTTTTGGTCACGTCCAAAAAGCCAGAGTTTGAAGGACAGAAACCATCAGCGGATTTGTCTGAGAATAGGATAGGGTGGTATACCGTATACCCAATTCCACTGGTCTTATCACCTTCCCTATCAAAATTGCCATAAATGGTAGCAACTCCCTTATCTGTCAGACACACCCAAGCACTTCATACGTATCTCAAACGATTGGCTATCCATAGCCATAGTTATCATCCATGTCTTGCTATTGTTGAAAAATATGCCACTATTGTTGGTCAAAAATTCGATTGTATCGCCATGAAACATCATTAAGCAAACCATCAATTTAGCCAACAAAAATCCAGAAAACCCAAGTTTCAGCAAATCCGACAATTGTTGGAAGGTATATATATCACCCATTGTTTCCCATAGAAAATCCATTAAAAAAACGGCAGGTGGAAAATCCCTCAGCTGTCGACTCAATGACCGCATCCGTCTCACCCTTGGCTTTCAGTTCATCCACCTGAACCAAGTCGTAGCACGCGACGTGGCAGCTATGGTAATCCATTGGAATCGTTTTTATATAATTAATTAAGTTATAAGTCATCAATCTATAATACATAAGTCTATTATAATAATCTGTATTTATATATATATATATATATTATATATATATATATTTATGCATTATATTGACTTATATCATCTTATATCGTAAATGACTGCAGTCTCTTGTTGTGTACTTTCAGTAGAAGCCGATGCAAATTCCATGGCCTTCCCATGGGGATGAAGCGCCTTCGCCGTCAAAAGCTCCAGCTGCTCAAGAGGATGAAGACCTCATGGGTTGCGACAACCATCAGCTACTGGCGACGTGTGAGCCTTTCCCCAGAAATGGGAAAACCCAGAAATGGGTGGTTTATCCATGGAAATCCCATGAAAATCTGGTTGGTGGTTTCAACCAACCCCTCTGAAAAGTGATGGACGAATCGTCAGTTGGGATGATGACATTCCCAATATATGGAAAAACCAGAAATGGATGATTTAGAGGTACCCCCATTTTAGGAAACCTCTTGTGACTCAGGCGGCAACTTTCATCAACCAGCTCGGCAGCTGCGGATTCTAAAACATTGCACTGCATGCCCCTGGGTCACTTCCTGTTGTCGTCTTCCGTTCACCACGTGGAAGCAATGTCAAACTCGTGCGACCAATAGAGGGGAGAGGACTCTGTGCAAGACTAGTTAAGGATTATTTAAACATCATGAAGCATCATGAAACATAAAAAAATAACACATCACGAAACATCTAATTGGCTGATGACTTGAATGTGAAATAGTTGCTGATCCTTTGAAGCGATTCCTGAAGGCACGGTAAGGCACGCCGCGCGGCGTGCCAAGGATCAGGTGTTTTGGTGATCTCAGTGCTAAAGGTTTGCATCTTTCCTGGTGATCCTAGAAACAATTTCATATCTCAGTTGAAAGCTGTCAGCCGAATGAGGCTCCTTTCCCCTTTCTGGCCGCCAGAATTACCTGCCCTTGTTCTATGAATGTTCCATTCCTAGTCATATCCAACCAAATGGCTATGGCTCAAAATTGGGGTGCCAAACCTCGATTCTAATTTGGGGTGATGAATTTGATCCGGGCAAAAGCCATATCCAGCCATTAAATAAATATACAGTAAATAAATGAATGAATATATTATAAACAAATATATATATATACATCGTATATCTTATAGCCATATCCAGCCAGCCATTTCATGTCCAAATATGTTCAACATTGTTCAAATGGGTTTTCTCAAATGGTGGATCCCCCAAAAACCATGGGTTTCAATACTAAAATGGTCTCATTCTGGGAAGTTTTTTGGGTATTTATAGGGGTAAACTATCTATACCATGTGGAACCCCTTGATTTCCCGTTCCGAAAATGATCAAATGATGGGTTTTTCACTAATATTTCTGTGGGTTTACAGCAGGGTACCACCATTTCTTTAGGAAACCAAGGCTATACCAAGGTGGTGCGCTGCGGTTTTCTCGGGACGCCCGCGACGCATACCGAAGCGGTAGCGCGGAGGGAGCTGAGCCGCCCAGGCATTCTGACAAACCCCCAGCCAAAAGACTGACCATATATGCCATTGAACCTAGTTGAATCTAGTTGATTTAGCTGCTTTGCTTTTTTTTTAAGTATATTTCTTTGCTGCCCTTTGCTGCTTTCAATTTGTTTCATCCGTGTCCAAGCAAGGCCAGGAAAACATATTCCAAAGCCTCAGGAGTCTTAAGGAGTAGGATGAAATGCTGAGGATTTTTGGAGGGAACTTGGAGAGAACAGAAACAGGCAATGAAGGCCGTGAGGGTGCCAGCACCGCAACTCGCCCTGCACTTTGACATCTCATTGGCAGCAGGTGAACGACAAAGCCACGCAGCCAGTAACAAGCAGCTCGCGTATCAAATGGTCACCTCAGCAACACCAACAGCAACGCAAAACGCTGAATGGCATCTGGCCATACAAGCGCTAAAAATTAACCAAGTTGCAGCTGTCAGGTTGAAGTTTTGCTTGTTGAATGGATTGGACTGCATCACATCCTTAGTCGAAATGGGTCATTTTAAATGGGTCGTGAGGTCGTGTTCTCTTCTGCTTGGTGGCATCGTTGGGGAGAGGCTTTGTCTTGATATTAGGCTACAGTATACAACACCCCCAAACTGCCATGGTCCCCTTACAGTAGCCATAGATGCGAGTGCTCGCCCTCCGCATGGCATGCCCTGGGAGCCTTGCTCTGTTGCCATTCGCCACTTGCTGCATCTTCTGCAGCTCCTGAATGCCTTGCATTCCTCCAAACAGCCTGGCGTCAGCTACAGCTACAGCTAGCCAACATCAATGGACTGGTTTAAGGGAAAATTCTACAGGAAAACCTCAAATTTAATGGGAAAATCTATGGTTTCCTGTAGATTTTCCCTTAAGCCTTAAACCAATCCATTGACAACACAGCACGGGGTGAAAACGCGAGCGTTAAACGTGCCAGCGTCTCGAATTCATCTGGGTGATAACGTACGCTGAAGGATTTCGAGCCTGACTTTTTTCTGATGCAAATTGAACTGGCACTTTTCGAATACTATGAGTCTGAGGCTTAAAAACGTGCAATCCACATTTCTTCAGAAACTTTGTCAATCTTTTTCCATAGCCACAGTTTCGGTTCCTCTCTTAAATAGTCTTAAATAATCTTAAACAAATGGTTTATCATCAATCCGATCATAAAAAACAAATGCCATTTGGGGGGTATAACCCCATGTTCAATCCATTTTGAGACCTATATAGCCATGTTCAGCGGCGACAAAAACGGCTGGACTGACGTCGAAGTTGGAGCCTTTTCGAAGGAAATCTTCAAAACGAGATCGTGCTTGTCCTGAGAGTCGTGAATCAAGCAGGATAGCCTTCTGTAATTTAATGTGGAAATCTGATATGAAATATGGGAGATCCATAAATTTATAAGATGAACATATTGGAAATATCCGCCATCCATAAATTTCCCAACGAACATGATATACTTTCATGGTGTTTGTTTTTCTCCAATGTCTATATCAATTTACTGGAGCACAATGGGGCTGGGTTCCAGGCATTTGGTAGGCTGCGCAGCATAAACGATGCTTTCGCATCCAGGTTCCACCTCGGTTGCGTCGGAAAAGAATGGAATTGCCAGGGCCTTGGAACACATCAAAAACTCTTACTGGTGCCAAACGTACGGAATGGATGGGTTGCTGGGGGTTGCTGGGATGATTATGACTAGTGATTATGGATCATTCCCTCATTCCCTACGTTTAGCACCAGTAAGAATAACTCCATCCCCTGAATTTTACTGAGCCCTTCTTTGGGGGATTTTTCCCCATGATGTGCGGAAATCCATTGCCAGGAAAAACGCCAGTCTGTGAACTAAGGGCTATTCTCCTGGGCTCCCAACTTAGAGATCAGTTTTTCGATCTCAGGGTTCGATGATGGTGCACCACCATTGGCGGGAATATTCCCCGATCCTGGGATGTTGCAGGTCGATGAACATGCCATCCATTGGTTTAAGGGAACATCTACAGGAACCCCCCCAATCCCTTTTTGGGAACGTCCATGCTTTCGGGTTAAGGGGTGTCCAAAGCTTGACCTTTTGGGGGTCCAAACCTTGAAACCTCAACGTTTGGGGTCCAAACCTGGGCCTTTTGGGGTCCAAACCTTGAAACCTCTACTTCAACGTTTGGGGGCCCAAACCTTGAAACCTCAACGTTTGGGGGGTCCAAACCTTGAAACCTCAACGTTTGGGGGGTCCAAAGGTTTGGACCTTATCTGCAGTGCTTCCATCCCCCAAGAGTGGGGGATACAGGGGGTTGACAACCCTAAACCCTAAAAGCTTTAGGACTGGGTGGTAAGGGATGGGTCGAAGCAGCTTCAGCGTGATGTTGTTGCCGTCTTTGAGGGAGCAGGGCCGTTAAAGAAAAAAATGGAAAGGCGGCCCGACTCCTCGATGTCTGGGATTGGCGCCTGGGGTTGCATGCTGTTGTCTATAGTCTCTGGTCAAAGAGAAATCTGCGTTCATCTTTTGAACGTGACCGTAGTCCCTTCGAGCTGGCGACTGGCCGATCTGTACTGCTACCGGCCATGGTGCCGTACCCGGAACTGTGGCTGAGTGCGAGGGTTGGTGATGCTACCGACAAAGGGCCTCAACTGCCAAGTATATTTCTATTTTTTGGAATGTATATTCACATGTCCCTAGCGATGCAACTGTGTAGATGAGCCAATATGCAGAAATTCTTGTCACCAGTGAAAACAGATTCGTACACACATGGCCTTCTTGCCTGTTGCTATCTGCCATTCGTAAGCTGACATGCTGCGCAAGATGTGTCACGGACCGCTGCTGCAATGCCCATATCCAATACAACAGCAATGGTGAAAATCACTGCGTGGGAGGATTCTGGAATATCCACTTGCCTAAAACATGCTTTGTGCAGGTAAAAACAAAAGTCTTGGAACTCATGCGATTGGGCGATCAGTTTACTGCTAGGCATTTCAGCGTAGCATTGCCGCGCTGAGTTTTTTTTCTCCCTGTTCTGCTTCACCGCTACAGAGTTGCAACTGCACCAAGGACAGCTGGCGTTGGAATTTCACTTGCCGTAACCTCTCGACCTTTGTGCTGCTCTGCACCTCAACGTGTGTTGGCTTCCGACACCAGCTGCTGCAACTCCGTGCGCAGGCTGCGGTGGCTTCAAAGTCTTGAAACTGCAACTGTCTAGGTGCGAGCCGCGTTCGTGCCAAGTCACCAAACTATGCCACCCACTTGCAGGCTACAACTGAATAACTTAGAACACACAGAACTGGGCACATTGAACGCCACTCGATGCAGCTTCAAGAGACTCGACGACTTGGTGCGCCCGGGTTGCGCAGGATCTCCCAAACCGCCTCTACCTACTCTCACGCGCTGCTTGCCATGGCCGCTGCGATCTCTGCGATCTGCAGTTCCGAAAGTTCCTCCTCTGGTTCCACCTCCTCTGTCTCGTCAGCTTCCAGGCCTTCCTCCTGTGGCGGCTCGTCCGCGACCGCGAAGGCAGCCACACCAGCCACCACAACGGCGAGGGCACGCGAGAGGTGCCCCTGCCACTTGGCCACTTTCTGCTTGCCCCCAGGGCCTGCGATGTTCGTCCAAGTCCGCAGCGGGGCCGGAATTTGTTCCAGGAGTGTTCGTGCCTTCGCCGCTGAAGGGTTCAGGTCCCCGATCAGCTGTTCCACGGCCTCCACCGCTGCAAGCACACTGTCGGTCGACCACAGCTGCCGCACCAGCTTGTGTTGCAACCCTTGCAGGAGTTTCACCTGCTCCAGGGGAACAAAGTCCCCTTTCCAGGTTTCCACTAACGTCTGCAGCTCGTCGGTCCTCGGTTTCAAGGTTTGGACCCCTCAAAGTTGAAGTTTCAAGGTGGACCCCCAAAACGTTGAGGTTTCAAGGTTTGGACACCCAAACGTTGAAGTAGAGGTTTCAAGGTTTGGACCCCCAAAAGGCCTAGGTTTGGACCCCCAAACGTTAAGGTTTCAAGGTTTGGACCCCCAAAAGGACAAGCTTTGGCCCCCCCAAACGTTGAGATTCCAAGGTTTGGCCCCACAAAGGCCCAAGTTTGGACCCCCAAACGTTGAGGTTCAAGGTTTGGGCCCCTAAAAGGATTTGAGCCCCCAAAAGTACAGGAACCCCCCCAATCCCTTTTTGGGAACGTCCATGCTTTCGGGTTAAGGGTTTCCCTTAAACCAATCCAGTGACGTCAAAGCATGAAACCACCAGCTGTCTTTGCTCGCCTGGTGGACCAGTACGACCCAATTCTGCATCCCGAATGCGAGATATCAATACCTCACCGGGGCCAGGATGGCACAAAACAACCACACAATGTGACAACTAAGAATGTTGGGTGAAATATTTGGGTTGGTCTGAACATATACGCCTAAATTGAAGATATTATTCTAATTTTCCCATATTGATTAATATGTATACATATATAGATATGATAGTATGTATATATATATATATATATGCATAAAACATATTATGCCTATTCTTGGGGTATAACGGTATACTGGTATACCTCATCTCCGGACCATCCCATTTCAAGTGCAGTTTAGCATGCTGAGCATCTTACAGCAGAAGGTGCACGGGTGCCACCAATAGGTCCACGACTGAGCGGGCTTCCGGCATGGCTCAGGGTGTCTAAACTTGGGGTGCAGATATGGGTAATTATTATAGCCATGTAATAGGGAAAATGATGATTAACCATTGGATTTAGGGGTACACGATTTTTAGACAAATCCAGATATCTCCAGTGATGGTTACTTGATTCTGTTTTAATGGGGAACACAATTATTTTGATGCTTACTGAGGCAGTGGCTTCCATACTATGATACTGGGTATCCTATTTTCAGACAAACCCAGACACTGGGTAGTGGGTACGACATCAAGATAGCTGGTAGTTGTGGACGTTCATGCCCAAATATGGCACTTTAGATTTGACCCATCTCCGAATCTATATTCACCTGGCTTGAAAAAGGCTGGGAACTATTGCGAACTATTGCGAACTATTGCGAACTGATATTCTTGCTTTCATGTACTATAAACATCGGCTCACATTCAGCACTGTTTTGTCTCTCAGGCTCCGAAAAGAACACTACCACATTGACATGGCACCAACCGTCCATCTCACCGATTCTGGAAGGGATCTGGAACAACAGCAAGCTCATGCGAACCACTCCCATGCAAACTTACACGATTCTACAAGTGTTCATCAGCATGCTGTTTTTTGGAATATACCTTGCTGCCTTGCTGATACTTTCACTCTACATACTTTACTATCCTTTACTATGCACATGGAGGTTTCCAATCCATCCGGGTACCCCCCAAATCATCCATTTGTTTTTTAACGTGGATTTTGCATTCGAAACCAATCAGCTATTGGGGATCCCCCACAACTTAGGAAAACTGAGGCTCCCGAGCTTCATGACCAGTCGCTGTTGGTGCGCAGGCATCACGCGCAAGCGTTGGGCTGCTTCGCCGTCCTGCAGGACACAACCGTTGCTCCGGAGACCACAAAATGATCAAAATGTGATGGATGCTGTTTCTTGGAAGATGGAAGTAGCATCAGAATATCTGCTTCCGGGCTTGTTTTCGTTTGACATTGTAGCCGAAAGTCTGTTCTCAAACGCGAACCAAGACATAGTTGTACCGTCGTAGTCTTGATCCATCTTGGCGTTTGGCCCGGTGACACACACCCACCGATTCTGGGATGCTGACAACACCTGCGCAAGTAAGGAATGCCTCCACCTGCAGCATGACTTGCCATATCAGCTAGCAAATCTTATCAAATCCTTCGCTTGTATCCCATGGACGTCATTCGACAGTTGCAATGAAGAGTTCTCTGGTGATGTGACAGGAATGTGGGGGTCCCGCTCCCATTTTACAGCTGGAAAGAAACGCAGTCTCTCAAACCACCAGCCAGTTCCATCTTTCAATCGTAGCAATCCCATTGTTTCCCCAAATTTCTGATTTATATCTTAATGAAGTATTCCCCAGTATAGTATTTCCAGTATATACCAGCTTTATCTGTTAGTTAAACTATGTTAAACATATAGGAGATATCACTTTACACAGACAGAACCGTTGTATCGTAATGATATAATCTAGTATACCATACAAGATAGGTTGGTTTATATGTAGTTCCAATATAGAACTATGGAATAGTCAAAGGGATTTATAAAACCACTTATGACTTGGGGGCCCCACCTTGTAGTTCGATGGATACAAATACTCTCTGGTAATCAAACATGGCAGTTGACAATCCCCCCCAAAAAATGGAGGTTTCAATGGGAAAAAGAACTCTAAATGGTGTGGATTTTCCATTTCTATGTTTGATTACCCTTCGGCCGCCTCTTGGGCGATTGGCGAGACGTTGCCAGCTCCATTCATGGCATATGCTGCCTTGGAGCAGCCAAAGCCTAATGATAACCATGGCATATTGGGATAGATAGATACCATTAGATTGGCCTATATAAAGGAAAATCAAATATAGGATTTTCATTTTTTCCCTTTAATCAGTCCAATGAATATAATTACCTTATATAAACACCAACAATTTTGCTAGGGAAGAGTCATTGGATATATATATATAATATGGGACATACAGTATCACCAATCACCAACAAACATATTATGATCTTTGGGTGCATCTGACAATGCGGGACGAATTTTCCCCTAACATTGCTGTTGAAATCCGGGGACTTTACGATGGAAAATGGGGTGCCCCATGGTGCCACCTGCCCTTCCCGTAGGTTTCCGGAGGTTCTTTCGAAATCGGCAGTTAGCTAACTACAATAGCCTGGGAGATCATTTCCTGTCTATCCCGTTATATCCCATTATCTCCCATCAGGTATGGGTCAAAATTGGGTACCCCAATAATTGGATGGTTAATACAGTTAATAATACTACAAATGGATAAACATAGACATTCCGATCTGTGGTCCCATCTTCAATATTCACCCCCATATTCCAGCTATACCCAGCTCTGGGGCAGCAACCATCCCCGCAGCTGGGAGGTTCTTTGGAGTTCGCTCCCATGCGAAGGCTGGCACCTCCTGCGCCAGTTGAGCCACTCTGAACATCTTAGGACTCCAAAAAACCATGGCTTTCCCATCATTCGTCCGGTTTCAATGAACCATACCCATATGCACCATGGTGCTGGAATATTTACCATCATTTGCCCTAAAAATCACCCAGTGTTGTAGGTAAAAAAACCATACATGGAGCATATGGGATAGTTGGCTGATATCTTGGATGATTTTTTGATGATTTTATGTTTCCCACTGAAAAGGAAAAACCGTTAACTATATCGTCATTTCGTCGTCCCTTGGAGCCCAGTTGAGAACGGGAGTCCCAGTTTCGTGGATAAGAATCCCGAGATATGGGATATTATGGATTGTATTGAGGATGAATTATGGGATATTGTCAGATTCCACAATAGTATATATGTAATGAATATATATATATAATATAATTATATATCATTATATATAATTATATAAAAAAAACATCATATAATTATATTTAATTATATATATATATACAGTATATACACGTATATTGTGGGATTGTACATATTCCGAAAAAATACTTTACTTCGAGTTATCCCCACCATGACATCTATACGTTTTGTTACGGGCAAATCTTCTGGCATTCTATCTGGCATATCCTCTGGCATTTTATCTGGCATATCTTCTGGCATTCTATCTGGCATATCTTCTGGCATTCTACCTGGAATATCTTCTGCAATATGTTCTGGCATATCTTCTGGCACTCTGTCTGGCATATCTTCTGGCATATCTTCTGACATTCTATCTGGTTTTCTACCTGGCAAATCTTCTGGCAAATATGTTCTGGCAAACATTCTGGCACTTTATCTGGCATACCTTCTGGCATTCTATCTGTCCTTTCTTCTGGCATTCTATCTGACATTCTATCTGGCATACCTTCTGGCATTCTATCTGGCATATCTGCTGGCATTTTATCTGGCATATCTTCTGGCATATCTTCTGGCATTCTACCTGGCATATGTTCTGGCATATCTTCTGGCACTCTATCTGGCATATCTTCTGGCACTCTATCTGGCATATCTTCTGGCATATCTTCTGGAAATTCTATCTGGCATCCTATCTGGCAAATCTTCTGGCGTATGTTCTGGCAAACATTCTGGCACTTTATCTGGCATACCTTCTGGCATTCTATCTGACATTCTATCTGGCATACCTTCTGGCATTCTATCTGGCATCTATTCCGGCATTTTATCTGGCATATCTTCTGGCATTCTTATCTGGCATATCTTCTGGCATTCTACCTGGCATATCTTCTGGCACTCTATCTGGCATATCTTCTGGCATATCTTCTGACATTCTATCTGGCATTCTATCTGGCAAATCTTCTGGCGTTCTATCTGGCAAACATTCTGGCACTTTACCTGTACCTGGCATACCTTCCGGCATTCTACCTGTCATTCTATCTGGCAAATCTTTTGTCATTCTATCTGGCATATCTTCTGGCATTCTATCTGGCAAACATTCTGGCACTTAAATTTATCTGGCATATCTTCTGGCATTCTTTCTGACATTCTATCTGGCGTTCTATCTGGCATATCTTCTGGCATTCTATCTGGCCGTTGAGGTCCAGCCGTGCTCACTGAGCTCGGAGGGTCCCAGGTTGAGGTCCAGCGGTGCTCACTGAGCTCGGAGGGTCCCAGCTTGAGGTGCAGCGGTGCTCACTGAGCTCGGACGGTCCCAGGTTGAGGTCCAGCGGTGCTCACTGAGCTGGGAAGGTGTCAGGTTGAGGTCCAGCGGTGCCCAGTGCGCTCAGACCCATGCAGTTGAGGTCCAGCAGTGCCCACTGCGTGCGGGGAAGTGAACATGGGAGTGGATGCAAAGGTGGTGGAGGAGAAGCTGAAGGAGAGGGAGGAGGAGGAGAAGGAGGTGGAGGATGAGGAGGAGGAGGCGGAGGAGGAGAACAACTGTGATAAAATCTAACAACCCTCACCTGGCAGGTGGGGAATAAACTCAACCAACAGCTGTTTTGAACTCGGGCACTGCTCAATCCAATCCGTTGCGAGCTGAGCCTCTTCAGGGGACTGTCCTTCCGCTACCTGGAAGGTGGCAACGGTCATCCCAAATCCCAAATCTTGATTGATTTACCCTTACCCTCTGGTTATGACTAACATAGCTATGGTTAAAATCCCCATTTTTAATAGGTAAACCATCGAACTAAATTGGCCATCTATACCATGGCTATGTTAAATAACCAGAGGGTATATGATTCAAACATGCAAGAGACTCATGCAATTCTGATTCCAGCCTGGAATTGTGGAGTCAGGCCCAAATTTTGAGACAAAAACCACCTGGCCTCTTCTGCCTCCTCAGAAGATGAATCTGACGAAGAGGAAGAAGAGGACGAAGAACTGGACCTGAACTTTTCGGTAACCAATGGTGACCATCACCCATGGGATGCCGATGCCATGGCTTCCTTGTGGTACACAGCAAAAATCCCCTGCTGAGTGCATCACTCGCACTCCTGGGATTCGGTTCCAGTGGCATGAGAAGTAAGGGCCATCGGTTTTGGTGGTTCTGAGGCGCTGAAGATGTGCCCAAAAGTGGCTAGGCTCCACAATGGCATTTGACGAAGCAAAATACTGATGACATTTAGGATATTTTACGATATGAATGTGATGAGATGATAGCCCCCGTTGGGATTCTTTCGGGCTTCTGCTACCTTATTTTCCAATGGACATGGACAAAGCCCATGTAAGGGCCTGTCCTCCAACCAGGCTTCCTTGAACCAGCTGAGCTTCCCATTTTTCAGCTTCACCCGAAAGGGTTGCTCAGACTTGTCATCTTCAGTGATCTCCCCCGTCATGCCTTTGATTCCAACCTGCGAGCGCTTGGAAAAACCGCTAAGGGAAGCTATCTACACTGCAGTATTTATCAACAACAAACTATCAAAACCCATGGGCTGGTTTATTTGGGAAATGATCTGCAAATGTTGGATTTTCCATATCTACGTTCTTGGTTTTGTTTCCATATCTATGATACTGGAGGGTAGCTGCAAGGCTCAGTTGCAACCAACACACACACAAACACACAAGCCGCTTAGTCATCTGGGGTTTGTCTGAAAACCATGGGAAATTTTCGGAAAACCAGCCATTCCATCCACTGGTGAATCATGATTTTCCGAACCCAGATTGCCATCAATTGGGGGTAAACCTACCATTTTCGGGCACACCTTGGACAAGATCTTGCAGAGCAGGTGGATCCCAGATGATTTTTCTCTACAGCCCGTAGCCGTATTAGACTAGTAGCATGCACATATGTAAATGCATATAATATAGAGGGATATCATATGCATATATATATATATACATATATATATATTTAATATATACATACTGTATAATATGTCAATATGTACGTATAATGACTAATTATTTATTTACAATATGTACGACTAACCCAGCGGACAAGGGAGGCCCTATTTGTCCGGGGTTGTTACCTTTTTCCCATGATGTACTCCACACACTTCTACAAAGCTGTTCTTAACGCTTCGAATGGCCTCACCTGCCTCTTACGTTGCCAAGGAACCCGATCATCATCGAAGTACAGACCTTCCTTGTCCTCATTCTCAACGGTTACTCGAACTCGAGCACCAACTGCAAGCCGCTCTTTCGCAGGTCTTGCTGGAGAGATCGCATTGTCCTTGGCTCCGGTCCCATCTCCCAGCTGCAGTTGACTCCACCCAAGGCTGGGGGTATTCCTGGAGCCCTTGTCTGACGATGATCCCCAACAATAAGCGATCTCTATTGGGGACCATTAAAAATTGTGATACCCAAACTATCCACTATAGTTGAAACTATAGTTCAGGGCCAATATGGGCCAATAAAAAAAATTACTTTACTTCGATTTATCCCCACCATGACATCTATACGTTTTGTTACTGGCAAATCTTCTGGCATTCTATCTGACGTATCTTCTGGCATTTTATCTGGCATATCTTCTGGCATTCTATCTGGCATATCTTCTGGCATTCTACCTGGCATATCTTCTGCAATATGTTCTGGCAAATCTTCTGGCACTCTATCTGGCATATCTTCTGGCATATCTTCTGACATTCTATCTGGTTTTCTACCTGGCAAATCTTCTGGCATATGTTCTGGCAAACATTCTGGCGCTTTATCTGGCATACCTTCTGGCATTCTATCTGGCATTCTGGGATTCTATCTGGCATATCTTCTGGCATTTAATGTGGCATATCTTCTGGCATTCTACCTGGCATATGTTCTGGCATATCTTCTGGCACTCTATCTGGCATATCTTCTGGCACTCTATCTGGCATATCTTCTGGCATATCTTCTGGCACTCTATCTGGCATATCTTCTGGCACTCTATCTGGCATATCTTCTGGCATATCTTCTGGCATATCTTCTGACATTCTATCTGGCAAATCTTCTGGCATATGTTCTGGTAAACATTCTGGCACTTTATCTGGCATACCTCCTGGCATTCTATCTGACATTCTATCTGGCATACCTTCTGGCATTCTATCTGACATATCTTCTGGCATTCTATCTGGCCGTTGAGGTCCAGCGGTGCTCACTGAGCTCGGAGGGTCCCAGGTTGAGGTCCAGCGGTGCCCACTGAGCTCGGAGGGTCCCAGGTTGAGGTCCAGCGGTGCTCACTGAGCTCGGACAGTCCCAGGTTGAGGTCCAGCGGTTCTCACTGAGCTGGGAAGGTGTCAGGTTGAGGTCCAGCGGTGTCCAGTGCGCTCAGACCCTTGCAGTGTAGGTCCAGAGGGAGGAGGAGGAGAAGGAGGAGGCGGAGGAGGAGAACAACTGTGATAAAATCTAACAACCCTCACCTGGCAGGTGGAATGATCCCATGGATTTATTCTTGTGGATTTCGCCCGTCCCTGTGTGTCTGAGGAAAGATCTCCACGTCTTTTGTGCTTCGCTGACCGTGACCTGGTAAGGTGACAATTGCAGGGGAATCTGATGTGATGGCAGCATGGGTCTACCAGAAATCCACTGAGGCTTGAAATCGGAAAACGATGAAACATGCTGCAAACATTCTCACACTCTTGCCTCGCCTGGCAGCCCTTCCATTCTTTTTCCCCTCGCAGCGTCCCGCGTGCAAGCGAGGATCAGCACAAGTGGATCATGCAAAATAACGACGAACAAACAGCTGAACATGCATCAATTTTCAGAAGACCAAAACGAAACAAACAGGCAGCAACAAATTGACCCAGAAATCCATTTGGCAAACAGTTCGGTTTTCTTATGTACATGTAATGGCTTATCATAAATACAATACAGAAATATCTATATATATATATAAATATAATTATATCAAATTAACTTTAATTATACGTATAATTATACAATATTAATAATGTTATACAATATAAATCAATATTAAACATAATACTAATAATACGGCCATAAAGTACTGTATCATCATTTTCAAACCTAGCGGACATGGGAGTCCCTATTTGTCCAGGGTTGCTACCTTTTTCCCATGATGTACTGCACACATCTCCACACACTTCTACAACCTTCCTTGTCCTCATTCTCAGCGGTTCCTTTCGCAGGTCTTGCTGGAGAGATCGCATTGTCCTTGGCTCCGGTCCCATCTCCCAGCTGCAGTTGACTCCACCCAAGGCTGGGGGTATTCCTGGAGCCCTTGTCTGACGATGATCCCCAACAATAAGCGATCTCTATTGGGGACCGTTAAAATTTTTATACCCAAACTATCCACTATAGTTGAAACTATAGTTCAGGGCCAATATGGGCCAATTTAAAAAAATATAAATGATCTCATGGATTTATTCTTGTGGATTTCGCCCGTCCCTTTGTGTCTGAGGAAAGATCTCCACGTCTTTTGTGCTTCGCTGACCGTGACCTGGTAAGGTGACAACTGCAGGGGAATCTGATGTGATGGCAGCATGGGTCTACCAGAAATCCACTGAGGCTTGAAATCGGAAAACGATGAAACATGCTGCAAACATTCTCACACTCTTGCATCGCCTGGCAGCCCTTCCATTTTTTTTCCCCTCGCAGCGTCCCGCGTGTAAGCGAGGATCAGCACAAGTGGATCATGCAAAATAACGACGAACAAACAGCTGAACATGCATCAATTTTCAGAAGACCAAAACGAAACAAACAAACAGCAACAAAATTGACCCAAAAATCCATTTGGCAAAAAGACAGCTCTTATATTGTTCAGATCGAGGTTGGAAAAACATTCCATATCAATATTGTGCGTATCAGCACCGTTTTTCTCCTTTCCCAAGTTCCTGCAATGTGTTTGCCATGGTCGTTTTTTTTCCAGATCACTCCACTGGCATTTTCTCATCATCTTTCAGATTTTTCAGATTAAATTTTGTTGTTGTCGCGTTAGTTTTTTCATGATTTTTCATGAAGTGTTCTTCTCAGTTTCCCATTTTCCATTTCCTATTGACTCAGTCATGTTCACATCACATAAATAATCCCTGTTTCCTGCTACTAAAACGTCCATGAATAATAAGGTCGGTAAATCAAAAAACAAGTTATCGTTGTTAGGGTTTTAAATCATATTAGGGGAAACTTCGAAATCTAATTTTTGGCACTATTTCAAGTATATTCAAAACAAGATTTTGATCAATTTTGAAATTGAAGATTTCGGTTTTTTAACCCAAGGTTTGAAATTTAATATCGGGGAAAACTTCGAAATCCACTTTTGGCAATATCGAGGCAAGATCTCTATGAAAGATCTCTATAAAGAGAGAGATCTCTATATAAGACCTCTTGGCAAGATCTCCATGGGAGATCTCTATACGAGATCTGGTGGCAAGATCTCCATGAGGGAACTCGATACTATGTTTGAGAGATTTCTATACAAGACCCAGCTGCCAGATTTCTGTGACAGATCTGTATACAAGATCTCTCGGCAAAATTTCTATAGGAGATCTCACGAGACAATCTCTGCACAAGATCTGTGTAACAGACCCCGTCACAAGTACTGGGGTCTCCGTGAGCGATCTTGAGAAAAGACCTCTTGGCAAGAACCCTTAGCGAAATTTCTATGACAGATCTCTATAGAAGATCTTTTGGCCAGATCTCCATGAGAGACCTGTAAGCTAGGTTTTTATGAGAAATCTCTACACAAGACCTCTTTGCAAGATCTCGATACAAGACCTCTACACAAGGTCTCTGTGAGACATCTTTTAACTTAGCAAGATCTCTCCAAGAGATCTCTTTACAAGATCTCTGTGAACCATCTCTACACAAGATCTGTTGACAAGACCTCCATCAGAGATTTCTCTACCAGGTCTGTATGAGAGATCTCTATACAACACCTCTGGGCAAAATCTCCATGAGAGATCTCTATACAAGATCTCTTGGCCTCTATATGAGGTCTCTATGAGAGATCTGTTTACGAGACCTCGTGGCAAGATCTATATGAGACTTCTATGAGAGATCTCTATACCAGGTCTCTGTCAGAGGTCTTTATGCAAGATCTGTGGGCAAGATCTAATCTACACGAGAAATCCGTATACTGGGTTTCTTTGAGAGATCTCTGTACCAGACCTCTTTGCAAGATCTCTAGACCAGACTTCTATACAAAATCTCTACGAGACATCTCTATACAAGGCCTCTTAGCAAGATTTCTATGAGAGATCTCTAGACCAGATCTCTGTGAGCGATCTCTACAGAAGTTCTCTTGACAAGTTACAGGAGGGATCTCTTTACCAGTTCTCCATGAGAGCCCTCTACACAAGACCTCTTAGCAAGATCTCCAGGGGACATCTCTATACAAAATCTGTTGGCAAGATCTCCATAAGACATCTCTATATACCAGGTGTACATGAGAGATTTATATGCAAGACCGAGACCTCTCTGCAAGATCTCTGTGACAAATTTCTATACACGATTCGATCTCTCGGCAAGATTCCCATAGGACATCTTCGAAATCTGTGTCACCACATTGTTCGGGGACCAAGCATGGACAGGCACCGGGCTTGGAATTGCCAAATCGAGGCACAAACTGCTAGAACCCATTGCTTCAGTGTGAAGCCTTGATATTTTTCGCCTTGGTCCGGATGCTCGCAGCAGATGGAGCGGCCCAAACTGTGACGTTCTGGTTGAGAACGGAAAACTGAAAACTTAAAGCGACAGGGGCAATTCAGGCTGCGGTAACACTGGCACACGTGCCCTGCGTGGTTCGGAGAAGCACTAAGCAGCGCTGCTGAGGACACCCTTCTCCAGGAGATACCTGTAGAATTGTTTCCCTTTGTCGTCACCGTGCAGCTGAAACCTTGCTATCTCTTCAAGTTTTTGTCTTCGTCGCATCTTTTTCGGCGCTGCATCATCAGACATGACACAGGAGATTGTGAGACTGTGAGATCGTGATCTGATCTGGACACTGCATGGTTTGCGAGATTGTGTACAATATTTGGGTATGTCTCAAAATACCGTGCCCAACAGGGGATGTTTGACTAGGGGGTATGATTCGCGGTATGATTCGGGGTATGATTCGTGGGTATGATTCGTGGGTATGATTCGCGGACCTTGATTTAGTGTTTCCCTGCATCCTCCACGTATGGTTATTTACCCACACTTACCCCGAAAATGTTTCAACTGTTGGTAATACCATACGTGGAGATACGTGGAGCGCTTTGGAGCTGGCATGCTGTTGACGCTGTGCGTGCTGCTGTCAGAGTGGTGTGTGCGCTTTGGAGTTGGCATGTTGGTGCCATTGCAGGATGCCGCTGCAGGGTGCTGTTGTCAGATTTTTCTCAGAAGCAGCAGGGGGCGTAGTGTAGCCCGTGGCAAATGGTTGCAAAGAAAAGAGCTCACAAAACACAAGTTCTGATCTTGCAAACGTACCAAGGTTCAGAATTGGGAAGTTTGAGGTGTGATTCGGGTATGATTCGGGCATGATTCGGGGTATGATTCGGAAACCATTTTTTTTTGAATTGAGGAAGATTTGTTGCTTGAGTCTCTTTTGCCCACCGTCAACCTACTACGATTGCTACTTAATGGCTGCAATGGCTCGACCTGCCAGACGACCTTGGACAGGACCTGAATATGAAGAATGTGAAGTTACATGCGCATGTATGATTTATATCCGCCGGCCTGCCGGCGTCTCTTCTGGATGTTCTTCTCATGTACCTTTAGCTCAGCTACGCTTAGGCTAATGTTCCTCTTCGACGGATTTTTGGTTTGGTTGCCAGCCAGCCAGCCACAGCCGGAGTCATCCTCCTCATCAGCCTCATCAGCAACACAGCAAGCAGCCAGCCACGCAGCCAGCCAGCCGCAACTAGCCAGCCCTATAGCCAGCCACCCAACCGGCAGCAGCAACTGAGCCAGCCACCTAGCCAGCCAGCCAGCCAGCCAGAAACCAGAGCCAGCCAGCTTAGGATAATGATGAGACTCTGTGCGCGTGGAGAAGATTCGCCACTCCGTGAAGGTATGTGAAGGTAGCCAGGGATCATCGGGTCTGGCCAACACTGGTCAATTAAGCTTGTCAGATCCATTGAAACTAGTGAGGCCAATGCAATCCCAAACGATCCGAAAAGAAACATTCATAATCGTGACTTTTTGGGGTATGATTCGGGGGTATGATTCGGGGTATATGATTCGGGGGTATGATTCGCACAACTCGAACATCCTGCCTTTACCAAAATCTGCGCACGTTAAAAAAGACACAGCCATTTTGTCATATCATGTGCACATGCTATAGAGCAGCATCTATGGTTAATTATTGATTCATTTCCGATTGGACCATTGCAGGCAATCATATACTATAATATAGAAGTTCGTCTGCGCATTCTTTTGGCGCTGGGCCAAACAGCCGCCGGGACATTCAATGCGTTACACGGAAAGACAAAGGGGACCCTAGTCCATGTCATGCACATGGTTACGCCACGTTGTACCACCACACTGTTGTCTGTGCGCACTTGCAAGACACATGGTTGTGCGTGATCTGGGATCCAGACCCCTCATCTTCTGTTTCTGCTGACCACTCACCTTCTGTTTCTGCTGTGCCTGGACGCAAACTTGGTCTGTGTATCGTGCAGTGTGCAGTGAACAAAAGACTTGCGTGACACTATTTCACTCTGCGTAACATTCGTTGCGACGGTCGTTGTTCGAAGGAGCTCCAAAATCAATACTGACTCAGAGAACAATTCTGTGTGCTTTTGGGCAGAAACAAAATGAAATCGAAACACCTTATAGTCAACGGGCGTTTCTGTGGCAAACTACAGTAACACAAGGATGCCCAGGTTGTGCTGTTGGCTGTTTCCATGAACGGGTGCAAGCCGCAGCAGAATTTATCAGAATAAAATACATCTGACACGGATAGCACCAAAACAGGCATGCAGGTGCAGGTCATGAATGGTTCCATGCGAAGGTCGCATGGGTAGTTGGGGTGCCCAACACCCATGTCTTCCACGTATCATCCCGTTCCGACGTTAATTACAAATTGAACTCTGCGCGGCTCAAATCAGGACATGGTGCTCTGAAACATCATCACCTACCTTCTGCCTCTAACACTTCTACGTGCTTGTGAATTAAAGGTCAAACGAACAGCATCCCAACATATCGTTTGCAAGGAGGGTTTCTTCCGCAAACAGGGAAATGGAGATGACCAGTTAGTGATGTCGCCTTGTTCCATGAAATGCTGCACACCGTAGCTGAACCAAATAGAAAAACATACATGTGACACGGAGAGCAAACAGTCCCGTGCGCAGGTGCAGGTCATGCGTGGTTCCATGCCACGGTCGCATGGTCAGCAGAGTGGTTCAAAAAAGATCACACACGGGTTCCTGACCCCATCTTAATTACGAACTGAGGTCAGCGATGATTAAGGCAGGAAGTCGTGCGCTGGAGCATCATCACGCGGGCTGTTTCTGTCCACACCAATACTGTCTGTTTTCGATTGTAAACAACACCAAATCCAAACATATCACCACCAACGAGTGTTTCTGCAGGAAGTATAGTGACACAGGGATGACCAGGTAGTGATGGTGGCTTGCTGCGTGCAATGGCACACACACACACACACACTGTA